TTTTAAGCAAGACTTCCTTCTTCCCTGTACTTTGAGATGCTGCGTGTCCTCCCAGGAGGTACACCATGTGCCCTGTAATGACATGTCAGTCAATGATGGGCTGCATATGTAAGAGGGGGACCTGTACCACAAGGGAGCAGAACAGTCCCTATCACCTAGTGATGTCGTATAACACACCCCTCGTGTTTGGGCGATATGGGTGTCAACACACCTGCTGAGTTGTAGCGGTATAAAAACACATCACATTCAAGTATATAGAGGACATAGTACTCGATAATAAATGATTATGCTGCTGGTTTATATATTTATTAACCTACAGTTTTAATGATTATTGTAGAACACACCCCTAACTTACAAAGCTGTTTACTGAAAATCACCTAATGCTGTCATGAGGCAGTGGCCACATGCACCGTGTGCTGACCATCACATGTCCTGGCTGTCACGTGTCAGGCTGCCACCTTCCAGCTGTGTGCAAGTACACTCTGTGGTGTGCATGCACCAAAACCACCTCATGACACACTTCCTAGAATTTATCCCTGGCATTAGTGACAGACGCCTATAACTTTTCTTGTTTTTAAAAAGTCTAATGAGTGTCACACACACTCTCTTTTTTCCACTTCAATAGTGTGCCTTGGAGGTCATGTAGGTCACCACGTCTGCATTCTTTTTGCAGTTTGCAAGAATACTATTGTGTAGAAATTATACTTCAATGCGTCTCCTATTGCGAAAGGAGTAGAATGCTTTCTCTCTTTTGCTGTTTCAAACAGTGATGTGAGTATGGGGTCGTGTTCCCATGCAAATACATCTGAACTACGTGTGTGTCACACTCAATAAAGCCATATAACAGGAACCTAAAGTGGTGACCATTGCTCCCAAGGCTGCGATTGCAGCAGGTAGACCTCAGAAAATGAGGGAGCCCCTGCGGCCGGCAGCAGGTGGAGCTGGGGCCTCCCCCTGGATGGACCCTGTCTTCCTCACAGGCCCGCTGGCTGCTGGCTGACCATGGAGGCCTTAGCCGAGGGAGACTCTTGCATGGGGCCCTTCTGCTTGGCCTGGGTCACCTCTCCCCGTGGCGGCTGACTCTAGAAATGGACTCCAGAGGAGGCAGCCAGACCCTGCAGGCCTGCCTCTCCTGAGAAGGTGGCCAGGAAGAGAGGCAGTGTCGAAGGAAGCTGAGTCCACCTTTGGGTTGGGTAAGAAGTGTCAAGATTCAGAAAGAGAAAGTTAAGTCTCCACTTTTGAAAAATCTCCCAACCAGCCTCGGATATTTCTAGAAGGGACTGCGTGGTCTTGGGTACGCAAGCTTTAATTCTGATAGAAGTTTGTTCAATATTTGTGCAGAGAAGTTGTCACAATTCACTTCCAATAACAATGCAGGAGAGGCTGGGGAGACAGCTCAGTAGAATAAGCACTTGCCTGGCAAGCGCAAGGGCCTGAGTTCAATCCCTGGTTCCAAAACAAACAAACAAACAAACAAACAAACAAACAAACAAACAAACAAACCAATGCAGGAGAAATGCAGACTGGGGTAATGAGGAGGGAAGGACGAAGGGAAGGAAGGAATCCACAGCAGCGCCGCTGCTTGTCTGCGACCGCACTTCGCTATCTGGCCACCGGAGGGCGATGTGACCCCGCGGACGCGCAGGGAAGCTCCCGGGAGGGGCTGCTCCGCCCTCGGGTCTTGTGCTCCAGGGCCCGAGGGAGGCTCCCAGGGCCTCCCTCACTCCTCTGTCCCGAGTAGCTGCAACGCAACCGGGGGGCCTTTGATGGGCTGCTAGCGAGAAGGCGGAAGCAGCAGATTTGCGTTTTGCTTTTCACAGTTCTGGGGCTCCCCGGGGAGCCAGGTGCCAGAACTCAGGGTGACAGGGGCCAGGGCAGCTGCGTGAGGCGAATGCGAAAACAGATTTCCGAAGAATTTTTTGGTTTGTTTTATTTTTCAAGGTCACATTCAGGTTTGTTTAATCAGTGCGTGTTTGCAGGACTGATCACATTTCTGCTGGGGAGCTGGCCTCTGTACAGAACGCGTGGTAATTCTTTTTCGTCCCCTCCCCCTCCGATCCCTCTCTGCCCCTTCCCATTTGCAGAGGCTCTGTTCCCAGTTTACTGGGGAATTGAATTCAGGCCTTTGAGCTTGCCAGGGAAGCACTTATTCTACTGAGTTTTTTTTGTTTTGTTTTGTTTTTTGTTTTCATCCCTTTTCCTTCCCTCCTCCCTCCTCTTCTTATTTGGAGGATCTCTCCTCTGTCTTAATCATCTCATTTTGCTCTCCATTTACATTTTGAGTTTTCCATATAAGAGTAACCATGAGATACCTAAACTGGTGTCTGATTTATTTCAAACAGCTTTAGATTTAACTCCGGGACTGCACTACCTACAGCCCTGGAAGAGTCCTGAGTTGGGTGCTGCTGCAGGCTGTGGGGTGCAGGGTGGCCTGCAGCCTTGGCCAGGTAGCTGCCCCCTCCCCGGCAGCTGGCCTGACTCCTCCTCCAGGGCTCGTCCCAGCTCCCCAGCCAGCCCAGTCCTGCTCTGGACCTCACTCTCTCCCAGCCATCACTTCAGGCCTCCCTCGGGACACCTGTCCAAAGAGCCTCACCCTGGGACCAGGCCTCGCTGCCTGTGTTCACAGAACACTTTCACTTCACATTCCTTTTTTCTTTCTTTCTCTTTCTTTTCTTTTCTTTTCTTCCTTTTCTTTTTCTTTTTTTCCCCCCCTTTATGTTTCTTGCTGGCTGTCTTACTACCATATTACCATTTTCTGGTAATTGCACCCAGGGCCTTCACACTGACCTACATCCCCAACCCCTCTTTAACTTTTGAGACAGGCTATAAATCGTTCAGCTCATGCTTGGCTCGGATTTGGAGTCCTACCTCAGCCTCCAAAAGCGCTGCAATTCCACGCATGCGTACCCTGTGCCCAGCTAAGGAAGCTGAAGCTCAGGAAGGTGCCGGCATCTGCCCACCTGTCATACTCTGCCTGGGATATTCGCTTTAGCCTCTGAGATTAGGCTGAAACTTGAAGGGGCAGAGGTAGAGGTTGGTAGACTAACGAGGAATGCCACAGCTCGGAAATGTAACAGCTGGCTTTGGACTGAATTTGGGGTCAGGGGCCAGCCTTGCAGCTGGACATCAAGTGAGGCGATTCCTCTTGGGCTTAAGAGTTCCACCCCTCCCGGAGTCCATGATGGCTCTGCTGATCACCTCTGCCAGGACCGCACAGTCCCAGCTCCCAGGAGGCTGAGCTCTGGCACAGCCTGCAGGGCACACGCAGCCAGGGGGCAACACGTGATACTCGCCTCTGTGTTCTTGCCTATAAACATCTCATTGGAAGGGTTTGTGTCTCCTGTGGACAAAAGTGGAAGCCATGAGAAGCCAGGCGGGGGACAGCTGTAGGGCAGCCCCCACTCTGCTCAGATATCACCACTCACAGCCCAAACACTGCGTGGCCAGAGTCCTTCATCCAGGTGGGAGACAACTGTGGTCACAGTTTGGTTGCAGTGTCAACCAAGGGGCTGAGCTGGTCTCCAAGCCCTGAGGTGCAGTGCCCGGTTTATGTCACTGTCCCTCTAGGGTGCTGATTTGGGGCAGAGTACAATGTGCTAACATTGGCCTCTGACCTCCCTCATGAAGGAGCCGCTGGACAGAGGGCAGGTGTCCTCCTCCCACAAGCCCCTTCCTGCTTGTGCTCTTTAGTTCATATCCATGGAAGAGCTGTACCCAGGAAGCCCCACTTCCTGCCTGCCAGGTTCCCAAAGGAGGTGTTTGTCCTAACCTACTTTCACTCCTTTTCTCTTCCAAAGGCCTCAGCACACACAGACTGCTTTCTTTCAGCATGGCCAGGAATGAGGCCAGCAGAGATGAGGCAGGCAGCCGCAGCTTCAGCCTGCCTAGCAGCACCAGCTTCCGATGGCATCCTGTGGGTGGGAGTGGGACAGGCAAGGATTACAGCAAGGTCAAGCCCCCAGATATCAGTAAGCTGCTGGCCATTTGCCCTAGCAGAGGACAGACAACTCAAGACATTTACTGTTCTTCCCCAGTTACAGCTAACAAAATAAATGGGTGAGCCTGATCTGAGGGCCCTTCCAAAACAGAACCACAGGGAGCACTACAGGGACACTGAGTCAGACTCTGTGAAAGCCCTGGCCCTGTTATGCTGCCTGGCCCAGGCCAGCATTAGGGATTTGAGCAACTGTTGTTCATCACGACTCCAGTCTCCATGGCTACGGCCAGGAGCTGCCTCAACCGAGGAGACTCATGAACAGACCAGGGAACAAGTGGGGATGTGGGGAAGATAGGGTCCTGGAGGGAAGATAGGAGTGCTGTGCTGAAGGGGGCAACAGAAGTCCCCAGCCGAGACAGCACTGACTTGGCCTTTGCATCCCCACCTGAGTTGTGGCTGCAGGGACCCTGTGGAGATGGAGGGCAGAGACTAAGGCTAACTTCTTCCAACTCAGAGAGGGAAAGGCCCACTGGTGCCTGCTATCAGTGGATACAGCCCACAGGCAAAGGTCAGACCCCACCTCTTCTCCCAAGATCTGGGGATCAGAGCTGCCAGTGGTTCCTGCTATGGCACCAGCATGTCCCCAGAAAGCAGGTGTTGGGAACATCATGCACCAGTGTTGGGAGGCGGGCTGCTGAGGGCCACGCACATGGCGGGTCTGACTTTTCACTTACAAGTAAGACTGCTTTCAGGAGTAAGTGAAATATAAGCATTAGCCACTACTGTTACCAAAACAATATATGGCCAAGGTGCTCCTTATCCTGAGAACGCTGTCCCTGCTACTAGAGAGGTCCTTCTCACTGCCTCTGGGCTTCTAGGAGGCACCACAGAAAGCAGACTCAGCTCTTCGGCACACAAACATTGCACAGAAAGTTAAGTGGCAACAAAAGAGGACTCTGATTAGAAAAGGGCTAAATAAATACCTCATCCGAGTCCCAAATTCTCCCCTACGAGAGTCAGGCATACAACACTATTATCAACAAGCAAAACCTTTTAGGGTTAAAAGTGTAATTTTATTTAGATGTTACTTGTACATAATCTATAGTAAGATATACAAACAGATAAAAATTGTTTGACAGGATATTTTAATACCACTTTCAATTTACAACAGCATTGGTAATACTGCAAGATGACAGATACTCTGCTTCATAGAACAAAAATTACTTGCTACTCTGGTTGATACATTCCCACTAATCTTTAATGGATTAAAATGTATCATGTGTTTCAGTTGCAAATTATTATAAACTTTTACAACCTAGACACTTGGTGCTCATAAAAGATGTTTATGTTGCTAAAAACTTACTGAAATGAAAACATTAATTTTCTAGTAGTATCCTTAGTAAAACATGAGCAAGCACACCTCACAGCTGGGGCTAAGAATCCACAATCATTTGCCTTCCGCTCAGCCCTGTGATGCTTGGGAAGCAACGCGTGGACTCGGGTCCTTCCGTCCCCCTGCCTGAGTCTACGCTGTGAGGAAGAGTGGTGAGACAGCCAACTAAAATACATACAAGAAACAATAAAACTGGCAGTAAGTTATAAGTATGATTTAAAGTCTAAAATTCATACAAGTGAAATGTGCCACTGAATGATTTTCTCCATTTGTTTTATTTGGTAAATACTTTTTGAAAATGAAAGCTGAAAATTCAGACGCTTTACTTCAGTCATGCAATATCATCAGATCTGACTTTAAAATTTTATGCTAAATCAAATTTGTTGAAAAGATACTCTAAAAATAATTTACTTTGTATTTTTGTCATTTTCCATTCTATTAATGGTTATAGAAAACATCAGGGCAGAAGCTTTCTCACTAGTCATAAAATCAAATTAAATATAACTTGATTAAACTATAGGGCAACTAATAATTGACTCATTAATATTGGCTCATGAATATTGATAAAGTGCCACTAATTTTATTGTAATAGGATATAAGTAGAAGAAATCTTGACATGGATAGTAGCTTCAATGTGTTCCCTTCATCCTAGAACAAAGGGCCACATAAAATAGGGAACTGCTGCCAAGGGAGCCCTGGAGTGACTCAGGGCATTTACGACACGAAAGGGATGGAAAGGCCAGCTGTTGTACTAGGGACAAAATAAGAGTGAAAATGGGCAGCGTCCCAAGAAAAATGCCAACACAGCAGGCCTCCACACTGGAAGGAAGAGAGAGAGAAATGTAAGTGTACTAATAATGACTAATACTCAAGGAAATCCCAGAGAGGTCCAGTGGTGACCAGCTCCAGCGTGAGGTGCTCAGGGGGACATGTGGCAGCAGGTGGAGCAGCGATAGCTCAAACATGGTCAGGTGGGGTCTTGGAAAGAAGTGCAGCCATCGAGCTTTTGGGTTTCAAACCTAGTGACTGCAGTCCCACACACAGGAGGACATCCATGACAGGTGACCAAAGTCAACCAGTGTCCATGCAGAACACATGGGATGAGACATGGGTGGCTGGCTGGTTTCCCTAGAACTCTCCCTGCTGTCCTGCTGACCTCTTCTCTGTAAGCAACACAGTTTTGTGGGAGCTCCACGCAGCTTCCTAGACCTGCATGACCTAGAAACACTGCAGGCTAGGTAGCTCTCCATACCCACCCCCATCTACCATCCAAGCCCAGGTGATTATGTACTCTGAACAAGCAGTTACCTCTCGCTAGAATTACAAAGCAGAAGCTGTGCTTCTTGAGATCCTGGTTTGCCTGAACAAGTCTAGGATCACCATGTGGCAAGAAGAACAGGGAACCAGAAGAGAAAGCAAGGTGCTCACCTACGGGTCAAAACGAGGTCATGTGGTGAGGTACTTCTTAAAATGTAATGTGCCAATACAAGAGAAGAGAACCATGTGCTTCTAGGATGGGGTGAAGTCCCTGCTCACAGGGCTGACCCCTGGTCTGGCCACAGCACCATGAAAAGGAAATTTATCTTTCATTTAAACCTAAGCTTCTATAATTTGGATCAAGCGGAGCTGACCCTCTTCACCCATGGGCAGTGCTGCCTGCCACCCTGTCCAGCCGGGTGCTCCTGCCCCCAGACAGCCTGCATCTGTTCTGGCTGGCTGCTACCCAAGCCATCAGGGCTGGCCAATATTATAAGTGGCATACTGATGACCCTGAGAGGAAACAGCCTTTGTTCTCATTTACATTACTATGAAGTTGCTGAAATCTCATAAAACTCACCAACTCCCATTTACAAAGTGAACTCAGTGTCCACCAGGAACCCTGCCTGAAGACGGCCCTTCCAATTTCACATTCGATGAGTGCAAAGGCAAGGAAATGATTCGGCCAGGCACTCAGATTCATTCAGCAGCTACCAAGACAACAAACTAAATGCAGGAACATTTGATTCTCCTGACTTGCTAAATCCTTCCCTCTAGAACCAATTTCTTCTGAAAACACATGATAATAAAAAACAAAAGGTAGAACAGTATCACTTACTGGTCAGAAGATATCATTCTGACAACATTAATCTTGCAAACACTTAACACCAGGCAGCTTCACAAACACACAGCAAGTCTACGGAACCGTAATGATCAACAGGAGTAAAGTAAATACTTTTATGGCCAAGAGGGAAGCAAGATGCTATTTTCAGGATAATGCAATAGTTACGGCATACCTCCTCATGTGCAGCATGATGTGCTATGTTCAGTGGCACTTAAGTATTACACAGTAAATACTGAAAAACCCAGAATTCTTGGATGTGCAGAAGCAATATCACATTATTAATACAAAAGGTGCTAAGCTACAGGATTATAACACCACTATCTGGGTCTGTGACCAGTCGGAGCCCAGCCTTGGCCCGGAGGCCCCTGCCCAGCCCTGCACGGCTCAGTCGGACCAGTCATTTTCCTCGCACTCAGAGTCATCATCCGAGTCGCTGTACTCCACAGCAATGCGCCGCGACAGGATGGTGGCCACATCGTTCCCCACCGGCTCCCGCTTGGCTTCCTGTTCACGCTGCTCCTGCACCTTTTTCAGCTGGATTCCTAAGGACACAAGGTAGGGTTAGGAATAAAGTCCCTTTATTTCTCCCAAATAAAAGGTAACCAAATGAACCAGTCTACAGACTTTTCTGCTGAGTCTGAACATAAACATTTAGAACTCTGAGGGGAGAAAAGAATGTGCGAGTCCACCGTAAGAAAGCCGGTTGTAACCGCAGTGCCCATGCACACCATCAGAGAAAGTTTGAGTCACAGCATCCCACGTGTCAGCCACCAGCCACTTTAAATAGGAACGACGTGCTGAGGGCTACCGAATGGGATGTTCTGATGAGAAAATTTCTGTCACTGCAAGGAGCCTCTTTTGTTGGGAATGGGTGTAAAATACAACTGCCTATTCCATTTAGTAACAATGACATTTGATGATGGAATGTGCATCACTTTTTAACTTTTTTTTCTTTTGAAATAATCTCAGATTTATAGAACAGCTCTAAGATCAATAGAAAAACTTTCCCATTTAACTGTACCCAGATTCCTGAACCGATAATGCCTGATGAGTGTTTTTCCTATCACTTATCTCTACACAGTTTGAAATACACAGCACATACTGTTCCTTCACCCCCCACCAAACATCTCAAGTGTGAATTTCCTTAAAAAAAATCAAGATCAGAGAATCAGCACAGATCCAATGCCAATACATCAGTCCTACAAATACTCTTCAAATTTTATGAGTACAGTAAGTCCCCAACTTACAAATGAGATTCCTTCCAGGAGAATCTAAGTCAGGCTTGTTCGTAAGTCTGACGAAGCCAGTCTTATTCAACTTTAACAAAAATATGCAATGTGAAGAATGAAAAACCAAACCTAACCTGCTTGGCCTTTCTTGATCCTGTGAAGTTGACATAGGAGGATTAATGGTCACAATAATAATTAATACAACAGAGATACTTCATTGAATCCTGACCCAGGGAAATTTTTCTCCATCTGCAATTAGATTGGGTTTACAGTAAGTCCCTGACTTATGAACATTCGAGTTCACAGATATGAACAGACTTCACATCTTCGAAGATGTGAAGCAGATCTGCAAGCAGATCTTCGAAGCAGCTCAGGTGTCTAAAGAACAGCATCAGAGTGGTGCTGCCGTGCACTTACTGCATAGTGTGATAGTATATAGTGGTACGGTGCTGTCAGAGCCCAGGGTGTCCAGAAGCAAGAAGAAGAACAGTGGTGATGCAAGATCTGCTTGCATGTACAAATGGTCATAATGTGAAGTCTGTTCATATCTGTGAACTCGAATGTTCATAAGTCAGGGACTTACTGTAAACCCAATCTAATTGCAAATGGAGAAAAATTTCCCTGGGTCAGGATTCAATGAAGTATCTCTGTTGTGTTAATTATTATTGTGACCATTAATCCTCCTATGTCAACTTCACAGGATCAAGAAAGGCCAAGCAGGTTAGTAGACTATACATGCTCTGGGTGTGTCGTAGAGGCATGGCCTTGAGGGTCTGAGTCTGGTCCCTTCCCTTCTGTTCCAGTACTCTTCCCTGCTATCAGCTGTGCTGAACTAGCAACTTTGCTCTACCATGCTGCCTCTGCCTTGGAGCCAGCCAATCATCACTGCAATCTCTCTTCCTATAAACTGTGGGTATTGGGTACTATGGCTCAGTGATGAGAAGGTTGATAAAAGAAAATTGGTACCAGATAAATGGGGTAACTGCTGTGCCTACATGGTTCAGAAGCTTTTGGAACTGGCTTGTCGGAGGAGTCTAGAAGGGTGTGGAGCTATGGGTTAGACAAGCCCTACGGTGCTACATGCAGAGCCGGATGGGTGATTCTAGTGGGAATTCAGGAGATGTGGATAGTGAAAGTCAGACCCAGGAGGTTCCAGATGGAAACATGGAGCCACTATCAGCTGGACTACAGGCCATGTATGTTAGGCTTTCACAGAAAATTTGTTTACACTTTTCCTAAGTCCTGAGACTGAAGGAGACTAAGATTAAGGGTGGTAAACAAATTCCAAGAGAGCCTAACATTTAGGCTGTGGTATGGATACTGCTGGCTTTGAGCCAAATTTATAGTAGGGGCGGGGGGAGAGGCAAAGCATAAAATTGTGAAAAATTTAACATATTTTGGCTCAAAGAAATTATGAGCTTGCTATTGTCTTTACTTGGAGATTAAATATGGTTTAAGAAGACTTGTGCATATAAAAATGACAAGATTTGTACTGTGACCCTTAATCTTAAAATGCCAACTTCACTGGGTTAAGAAACATGGAGCAGATTTGCAGACCATACTCCTGTTGTATCTGGATGGGTCATGTGGGTGTAGTATCAAGGCACAACTGGTCCCTCACCTGGTTCGGACACTGTCCCCTACTCTGTTCCCAGACACAATGAACTAGGCAGCTATGCTGCACCAGACCCTAACTCCACAATGTTCTTGCCCTGGAACTAGCTGACTCCAGACTGAGTCCCCTCAAACAGTGAGTGAAATTAAAGCTTCCCTCCTTAAGCTGGAAGTGCCAGGTATTGCATTCAGCAACGGGCAAGCTGACTAATACAATCATGTTCTGCTACCCTCCTCTGATGCAGACAGTTCTTTAGCCTTTGTGTTTTATGACCTCCACAGTTTTTGGAACAAAGGCAGTCTGCACGTAGCATGTGGCTCAGGTTATGTGTGTCAGACATCCCTCAAGATAGTTCCTAATTATGTGTTAACTTGCAATGAACAGGACCAAAGGTATAAAAATGCCAAGTCTAACACTGCCCTATGTTAACTGCAAAGTTGAAATCTCTAAGCTTTTATACCTCTGAGACGTATTGCTTGATGAAATCGAACTGCATCAATGACATCTGAGATACACAGAAAACCCTGAGGTCTTTGGACAGTACATGTCCCTGACCTCAGGCCTGATGGGTGGGTCCTCAAAGGAAAAGTCATCCCTTGCTTGTTTTGTACCTTCTGCCCACCATAAACTGTTTCTCCTTTGTGACACCCCTCTATCCTGCCACCATGTGTTGGAGCCAGCCAATTATAGACTGAAACTTCTATAGACTGTGAGCTCCATGAGCCTTTTCTCCTTTAACTCTAGTGTTGGGAATTTGTATCAGCAACAAGAAAATGTAACTAAGACAGCTTCCCACTCAATTCTATCCAACAACATGCTCCATCCTTCTGTTTTGCGACCTGAGGTAGCACTTTTGTTTGACAAAAACACTGTGGTGTTAAATAAATGGTGAAAAGATATCTTAGATTTTTTAAAAAATTAAGTCATTGATATGAACTTATTTTCTGCTATTTATGTTTATATCCTTGTAATAGAATACAGATAAGAACCTATGGATCAGCTGATCACTTCTACTATTTTAAGTAAAGATTTCTTAAATTCTATTTTTGAATTCAATTTCTGAATTATCAATTCCTCATCACAATGTGTTTAACTTACATCTAAAATGGAACACATATGTTTTTAAAAAGGCTCTTTTATGTGTACTCCAAAAATAATTAATGTAGAGAGGCATCACTGAAGTTACCAAGATTATAGCTGGCTGGAGACCCAAAGAAATCTCTTTATATAAAAGGAAAGCTATGTAGCTGAGGTGTCCACTCACCCATCCGAATGGCAGCCAGGAGGTCACTTCGAGCATCACTTATGGGTGGCTGTGCAGGCTCTGGACGTTTTATCTCAGCAACAGGGGGTCCATGCATTGGGGAAGATGAAAGAGAAGAACCAGGTCCAGGAGGGCCTGGTGGGGGAGGTGGTGGGCCTGGGGGAGGTGGCGCTGTGACCAGGAGCCCAGCAGAGGGTGGGTGAGGAGGAGCTGAGTACACAGAGCCTGAAGATGCAGGAAAGGAGGGCTGCGTGGGAATCTGGAGAGGGCTGACAAAAGCAGTTTGTGCTGAAGGAATCATGGGTGGAGGTGGAGGAGGTGGCGGTCCTGAAGGGTTGTAATATTCAATTATCTGTGTTGGAAGCATCCTAATAAACAGATGAAACATACAAAGTCACCAAAGCAGAAAGACACAGTCACATCCTTAAGTCCTAATATGCCTAATGGAGAAGTCCCCTGAACACAATGGATGCTGCAAGCTGGACTAAATCCACCACATATATTCACTCTGTAGGCAGTCACTTTCACAGACTTACATTATTCCTTATGATGGGATGTAATGTCTGTTCAAATGCATCAAGAAAGACCACTCAAAAACTCAAGCCATTTCCTGTGGAACACTAACAAATTACAGTTGGCCCCAGGGCACAGAAAGCAGCAGCAATGATCTTGTATCCTGGGTGTCTCAAAGGGGTGAGGCTTGGGCTGATCAGATAGTTCAGTGGATTAAAGCACCTGCTTAGGCAGACACAGAGACTGGGGTTCAATCCCCCAAGCACCTGCCAGCCCCAACCCCAGGGAATGCTGAGACGGAGATTAAAACTGGGCGTTGTGGCGCATGCCTGTAATCCCAGTGCTTGGGAGGGTGAAAACAGGAGGATCACTAAGAGTCTGATCTGTGCAGTAAGACCCTGTACTAAACACAGAAAGAAAGAGAGACAGAGAGAGAGAGAGAGAGAGAGAGAGAGAGAGAGAGAGAGAGAGAG